TTGTGAGAAAATTGTGTTTATAGGATAATTAATCAGAGCAGTGGCTACTCCCATCAACCAGAGGAGCTCTATCATCATTGGTGATTTTCACACGTAAAAACAGTAGCGTATCGTTTAAATCTAAATATTTTTCGCCATCCCCTGGGACAAAAAATTCTACAGGTCCGTTATCCGTCAGCGCTGCTATGGGTAAAATTTTGCTGTAGATCTTATCTTCGATAGACAGTTTGCGTCATGGGCACGGTGAAGATGTCCAATTCGCTCAGTGTGCATTCTGATGATTTACTGTGAAGCAGTGACATGAATGGAAAATGTCGGAGCCTCACCCCGGGTTTCCACAGGAGCCGTCAGCAGCACGTTACTGCAGCAGCACGTCTTGCTCGCGTAAGCTGCTGCTTGGCCCTTCCCACGAGACGCGAAGCAGCAGGGGAGCAGCTGTCACCGACAGAGCACGAAGTCACACGAGTGACTTCGTCAGTAAACACAACAACAAGCAGGAGAAAACTACAACATGGCTCCAAAATGTTTGTGTTTTATGTTCTGTCCATTTTATAATCGCCAATACGGACCTGAAAAACAAAGGAGACCGCTAGCTAGGTGATAACTTCTCACGGGGCCGCACAGTTAGTAACCTTTTTTAAAGTAAAGCAACCGGAAGGCAGTACGTTTCTTTATTCTGAAAATCTCAGGAGCTCCTCTCCATTTCCGCGTCTGATTTCCTGTCTTTCCTTCCCCAAAAATGTCGAACTTGACCCGTTTCAGAGGCGTCACGCGTAGAAAATAGAACTGGCGCGTAAAGGCCGCGACATGCTGCTCCTGAGACGCGGCCGACTCGCGCTGCTGACGGCTGCGGTGGAAAAGGTTCTGTTGACCACAGCGGTTCCTATCAGCAGCTATGACGTGCTGCTGCAGTAACGTGCTGCTGACGGCTCCTGTGGAAAGCCGGGGTCACTGTTGATACTTCTTCCTCTTTTGCTTGAGTTTTGTAACTGGGGCTTTTAAGCGCAGGTCGTTTCGTGAAGTAGATCCCTTTTCACGCCTGCCGGGGAGTATTTTCCGGACTCGCCTTGACAGAACCATAAGCCCTGACCCTTCCTGGGCGGTATGCTCAGTGATTTTGCTAACGGCTCACGTCAACACATCTGACGCGATTCCGGTCGCAGCCTTTTTGAGATGCGGCTTTGGCAAAGCAAATCCTTTTTTAACAAAAGGTGATATAAATCTGAAGAGTGTTGAAAATATCGAGCCAAAGCCGCGCCCGTATACATAAGGAATGCTGCTAAAACCTGGGAGCCCTTGACCGGCCTGAGTTACATAATAATTAATAAATCGTTGGGGTCATTTCTCTGCAGGTGATAAATCATTTTTTTGTTTGCAAGATGTATGCTGCGCTGAGTAAAAGAGCGTAACTGACCCTCTCACCCCACTTCACGAACGTTATATTATTGTATTTCTCTGATAGGAGTGAGCGGGCCTGAAATGAAGCCTCATCGTTGTTTTTCTGTATAAGAAGTGAATCGGCTCATTCTGATCAGATTTTATTTCAATATGAATGTTTTCTATATGATTCCAAGAGACGGGGGTGTAATCCACAGGGTTAAACACATGAGTGATCGTGTTCCCAAAGGTACCTTCAACTTTCACCGTATGTAATAACGGGGCATACACATCACCCACCAACTGCTCGGTCACTATGTCTGAATAACAATAAAACTGATATAGACTGTCGGTTAAATCAGGGGGGTGAGGCGCTGATTTGACCGTTTTATTGCTGGATGACGCTTTAGGTGTCAGCCACTCCTCCACATTAAAACTTAGCATATACGCCAAAGGCGCTGCAAATCGAACCTCAGAAAATCAACAGAGCTCAGATTAGTCCTGGATATTATAAAAATTTACAACAACTTAGGAACGAGTGTGAGACTGCTATGAGAAAGATTAATCCTGATTTCTATCTCATTTTCAGAACCCCGATCTAAATTCTATTTCACCACCAATCGTATATTTGAGTGTGGGATCGGGGGTTCTGAAAATGAGATAGAAATCAGGATTAATCTTTCTCATAGCAGCCTCGCACTCGTTCCTAAGTTGTTGTACATTTTTATAATATCCAGGACTAATCTGAGCTCTGTTGATTTTCTGAGGTTCGCTCATTCTTCGCCATTCGAAAAAAGCACGCTTGTACGGTAAATTAAACCAGGAGTGGGTATAGGTGATTTCTATTAGCCCCACTTGCCACCTGCCATTCAGATTGATGTGACGCACAAGACCAGTTCTGTAACTGGAAATTGTATTATTTTCAAATACATCGTTACTGGCGTTACAGGACAATGTGATATAAAAACCTCCTCCTGTCTCAGATCCATATTTTTCAATTTATTGTCTCTCTTTTTAAATGTCATGTAGGTGTGAGGCCTTAATCCAACAGGAAAATTTTTGGAGCCAGCCAAGCCACTCAACAAAAACTTGTCGCTCTCTTCGGAATGTCCGGTGTTTTAAAACTTTTTCAACGTGGAAGGATCTCTCGGTCGATGGGTTTACTTTCTGCAACTCTGCTTCAAAAAATAACCCTTCAATTTTTTCCCCATGAAAATCTTTGAGTTTATAAACCTTGGCGAGCGGTGAAGACACTCATCCACTGTGAACAGTTCGTATGTAAAATTCTGCTCATATTTTTGATCAAAAACACCTCTGAGTTTGGAAATTCTCACAACATCACCCCTTTTAAACTTAATTTTCTTCGCAGGCTTCAGTGAGGTGGCTCCGTAAAGGTTGCAAAACACCTGCCTTTGATTTTCCATGTTTACTTCAGCGGGGGACATTTTGATGGAAGAGTGGTAGCTATGGTTATAACGTCGTACTAAATCTTGAATCACATCTATGTAGCGATGGGTGTTTTTGGCTGTGAAATATCTCCACATTCTACCTTTTAGAGTCCTGTTAAATTTCTCCACAACGCTGGCCTTTACGCTGCTGGCTGTGGCAAAGTGCACAATGCCGTGTTTCTCCATGAGGGCATCAAATTTCTTATTAATAAATTCTTTACCAGCATCCGTTTGCAGTTTTTAGGGGTCCCACTGTCTTTTAAAACTGATACAAAAGCTTCTGTAACATCTTTCCCTGGTTTGTTTTTCAGGACTCGTACATAAGCTTTCTTTGAAAATACATCTATGATGGTTAATAGGTAATTAAAACCGTTGTTTGATTTTGACAAGGCCTGCGTGTCGCATAAGTCAGCTTGAAACTGCTTTAGTGACCCTGAGACCAAAACCTTATTTCTCAGAAAACAAACTCTTGCCTTGGTTTGTGGAGTGTGTAAGCATCCTGTTCTGAGAGAATATCGCAAGCCTTATCCGATGAAATTTTCTCCCCAATCTCTCGTTGTAAACCTGTTCTAAACCTTTCCACACCTCCGTAACTACCCTGATGTTTTGGTGAAAAATAAACATTTGTCATTACCTCCTCCATCTCTGACGGATGCTTGAGCAAATGAAACATATTCATTCTCAGTATTTCTTTTTATTTCATAAATTGTACACATGTGACAATAACGCTAGTCAGATTTAAGGAATAAAATCTATTCACACTGTAAAAAACAGCCGTGAGGCCTAGTCAAATATAATGAATAAAATCGAATGGTTAACTACTAGAAATGTTCAATGAAAAAAAAACAAGTTGCAGAAGAGACAGCGTGCGAAGAAGAGCTTGCGGCCTGTTGCGTTTTACAGCCGGACGAGGTCTCATGTTCGTCTTTGTACACCCTGCGTGGAACTGCGAGGTTGAGCACTTCCCAGTCATTGTAGGAGAGAACCGCTGAATGTGATAAATATTGCTTGAGAGGTTCGTCCTCAGCCACATCATGGATTAGACACAGCTCCTTAGTGTCGTAGCTGAACCGGTACCCAAAACTCCGGTATAGCCGTAAGGTTCCAGTGGCCATATTTGCTCCAAGGACTCTTTACCGCCAAAAGGAGGAAGCTGAACTCTACACATGTAGAATGCAGATTTGTGGGGAGCACCACCCTCTGCAGGCAGCTGATGGATCGCTATGGATTTTTCACAGAGCAAGGTCTGTGATAGCGACGCCGGTGTGTCCACGCTCTCCTCTTTCACCTCCTTCTCCTCTCGGGTAGAGGTTGAAGCATTGGTTGTAGACACTTCATCCATCTCCTCTTGCTTCACCATTTTCTTAGAGGTATTTCTTCGGCCCTTCACCATTCTGATACGTTCTCAGTCTGTCCGCTGAAATGAATCAGAGCTTTTAAAGAGGCAAGCAGGGTTGGAGGGAGGGATGCGGGGTATTACCTTTGAAACGGAGGGGCTGTGGGAACTGTGGGGTGAGGTATCCTAAGACAAAAGAGTTATCAATCCTAACTTGACGTAAAGTGGTGCAGATTGAATACATCAACGCAGATCATCAATATACACCTTGACAGAAGGGGTCTCGGGCACTACAGTCAATAACTTCATGAGTCATTACACAACAGTCATCAATTCATTTCTTGACATATGGGGTCATTAAAGGTCATATCACAAAAGGTCATAAAACAATACACCTGTCAAGTTTGACGTAAGGTGGTTTGGGGGAAAGGTCGCAAAGGTCAAAGAACAATAGACCTGTCAAAAATTGTGACGAAGGGTGGTTTCTTCATCTCTCTCACACCATTTGGTTTTGATGTAGGATTTACCGATCGATATAAAACAGTATTAGAAATGACTGAAGACAGTTGTCTTGCTGCTCGCCATGATGCCGCTGGCTTCTTCATTTAACACGCTAGGTGATGTGCAGGAACAGGTGGAGAAGGACTTGTCAGGGGAACTAAAGCAATTCTGAAAATAAAACTGATAAATAGCTATTTTGTGGAGTTTAGCATTTTGGATTAATGTCGATGTAGATTGATGTATTGCTACACTCTTAGCTGTTATGCTGTTTTGATCTGTTTTGGTATCGCTGTTTAGTTTTTGATACTTCTCTGACCATCTTTTTTGGTTCTACGCAGGAACCTCTGCTTGTCCTCATGGCCGGTTCTACTGTACAAACCTGGGTTTTCGCCCTCACTACGTCCCATCATCAAGGGTCAACGATGGCATCTGTGGTAAGGCTTTACAGTGTGTGACACAGGCAAAAATCAGCTGAGAAGTGACTGTAATTCCCTCTGAAGAGAGACGCAACAATTATTTTCTTAACTCATTCACTGCCAGCCGTTTCCTGATCGCTAACGGCCTTCGCTGCCAGCGTTTCTCACCGTTTTTACTGTTTTTTTAAGAGTCACAGAACGTTGTGCGCTAGCATGATATCGATGCCAAAACAACCTAAACAAAGAGGAGACTCACCTCTTACATCAGGAAGAAGTTGTGTGTTTCGAGCGTTATCCATTCTTTCATAATCCGTTGTCGAATTGTGATCGGCAGACGCTTTTCCGGTTCGCGTCTCACTTTTTTTACAGGAACGGCCCAAAACGATCTCCAAACACATGGATGGTCTGCTTCCTGATCATGTGATCTGTGACGTATGCGGATGAAGATCGGCTTCAGGGCTGAGATGTTTGTTTTCTCAGCGCGGGGGCTCGTTCCAATGCTCAAACAGTAAAAAAATGTAAATGACGATTGGCAGTGAACGGTTGGATCTAAAATGACGACTTTAGTCGTCAATGGCAGTGAATGAGTTAAAGAGCGAGTCACCCCCTACCAGTGTCTTACTAATCTCCCACTTCCTGTTTGACAAATGCAACAAATGCTGTTGCCTGGTAGACCGAGAGGGAGGAGCTGCTAACACACACACACACACACACACACACACACACACACACACACACACACACACACACACACACACACACACACACACACACACACACACACACACACACACACACACACACACAGAGTCACACAGAGTCACAATAACATTGTGACATCATAATGCACCAGCTAATGTCATAGTGTACCTCCTAGCCAATGGCAATGGCAGATTTATTATATAGATTTATATATAATATTTAAATTTGAACAATAGCATCTTTTATAAGACACACCATGCCGGCAAATCGGCGTAATATTACCGCAATGGTACATCTATAAACGCGCCATGCCGGCATAGCGTTGCGCAAATTTTGGGGCATTCGTTCCGCCTTGTTTGGTAGTGATATTGTGACAATGGTCTGTCGTATGCGCCCTGGCGCAACAGAGGCAGATGTCATGATGACATGGGGAGTTATTGCTGAGCTCTGGCTGGCAAATTTATTGAAAATGAAAGTAAACACGGGCAATAAGGTTTGCTTTTTGAACAAAATCAGCTGAGATGGCAAACTGGAGCGCCGCAGCGCTCCATGAGCCTCTCTGTTGGAGCTGAAGCTCAGATCACCAGAGACTGCACAGGGACTGATGGGCACAGACACCTTTAGGAGCTGCTTGTAAAAAAAACTTAACGATCACGGCTTCAATCGCATTAAAAAGCAAGTTATGTCCAAGATAAACGGAAGTCTGCAGCAGCGCAGAGGTCGCCCCCATATCCCCTTCATGCCGCCATCACCTAATCTTTTATAAAATTACCATGATTGCTCCACATTACCACCACGGTCTGATCTTATAAATGATCTTTATCCTCCCCAGGGCGCCGCGGCAAATCCCAACAGCTTCAGACGCACTAAAGTAGTTTTACTGACTACACATGTCCACAGCGCCATTAGAAACTCATTTATAAAGTTTATCAGCAAAAAAAAGTTGATTTGGGGGTGACTTACTCTTTAACGTCTCATTCACATCATTTTTTTCTGTTGTGGTCTTGAGCATGAATGAATGACTTGTGAGAAGTTTTCCGCCAAAGTAAAAGGTGTAAGCGCTCCTGCTTCAGGGGTAGAAGTTTGTCGGGGGAGTGAGGGACAGAACACAGCAGGGTTTTGAGTCTGTTTCCTTGCTGTGGGTAGGGCAGGTTCATTGTGTCATATTTCTAAAAGAACAAGTATTAAATGTGTTCTCAGTGAACGAGACATTTAACCCTTTGGAGGCAGGTGTTGCAGATGTGCAACAGTTAAAACCTACCTACCTGGTTACTCCACAGACGTATTTCATGAGCATTTTTTAACTCAGAAGTACCCTGAAGGACTTAGTTGTTCGTCCTTTTATCAAAACTTATTTTGAGCCTGAGAGGGTTAAAGGCAGTATCAGGAGCTGTGGTTTTCGACAGATCCTTCTTATTTAGGAATTAAAAATGCTTAGACAGCTGTGAAACTGTTTTTTCTTAGTTTCTGATCCCAAAAACTTCAGCTGCTTGTGTAGCCGTGTGGAAAGTTTGCTTCATTTCCTCCTCTGCAAGTTTCACAGACACACATAAGTATATAACTTGATGTTAGAAGGCTGATGCAGCGATGTATGAAGCATTTCTCCTTTTTTAAGCAAACAAGACATGAACGTCGAACACATAAAGCCAGATGTTCAGACTCCGTTGTCCTTAGAAACATCCTGTTCTTTTCATTCAAGGCCGCCACCGTCTGACCTGCCAGATGACTTTCCACTTCAATCTCTATTTCTAATAAACTCTTGATCATCTTGTTTGCTCTTCCCCCGACACCTGCAGCCTCTAAAATGATGGATCTATAAAAAAGCAGTAGGGGGATATTACCCCTTTCCCTCATCCTTTTATTTTACCCCTACTTGTCTTTTCTCACCTCCAAGGTTGCCACTGTAGTGATCTGTAGTTTGTATATTTATACACTGTAATTAGATCTAAATGTTATAATCAGAAGTGGTCGTTTTTATCATCAGGGAGTTTACTTAAACACTCTGTATTGACTGAGAGACAAGAAAAGAGAGAGTTGGAATCGTTTAAGAATCTTTAATTTCTATAATTATAAATTCTTACAATCTACCAGAACTATCTCAATGATGAATGCATATGGACTTAGATGTTTCGTGTTGGTGTGTGTGTGTGTGTGTGTGTGTGTGTGTGTGTGTGTGTGTGTGTGGGTTCAGGATCTCTAGGCTGACGTAGCGAATCTGGTTGTTATGACTAGGCTACCACGAGGCTTCAGAAGCTGATGACATGAGCAGCAATTTTACCGTAACTACGTACCATGTGGAGCCTCCCGTGTAGATCAGGAATTGCCAGGTCCTCGGACCTTCAGGTGTACTGGAGCTGGTGCAGCAGCGGTCGCAGCACTACAAAGCCCGTCTGAGGGTCGACTCCGGTAGCAGCGGCAGGCGTCAGCGAGTTCACTCTTATTTTGAAGGGACGTCGTTTTGTTGTTCAAACGACGGAGATCTCCAGCTTGACAGTTTTCAGCTTAAAGTAGAAAGTGCATCTGGCCAGGCTGTACTTCTCTTTTGCGGTGATGGATCGAGAGCTGGTTGAAAACTACGTTGAGAGTATGATGTAACTCCTTTGGAGCTCAGATCGAACAGAGCTGAGGTTAAAATGGAACTGAGTTTAAAATGGCGTTGCCTTGTTTTATATCCCCTAGTTGTTTACAAATCTTAGTAAACCGGATTGGACAACTTCATTAAACAACCCAGATTCTCTCTACGACAGACGAAAGTTCTGATTGGTTGAGAACAATGTGTCAGGCGTTTCCATGTTAATGTAGATCATTCTGTCTGGTGCAGTCCTGTTTATTCATTAAACACATAACTCATGGCATCTTTATTTCACAGATCATTCACCTGATTATTATTGATCAACATATAGTTTGATTAGCTTATCACAAATAAAGTACTTTGAGTAATTAATGGAAAGCGTTCTTCTCTTCTTCTGTCTCTTCTCCTGGAATGTAAACATACTGAAACCAGCATCCGACCTTGGCGATTCCTACACGTTGTTACTGTGTGAAGGGGCAGCTGTTAAGGGCAGACAATAGGATCTTAATAACGCTACACCACTTAAAATCCTACACGTCCCCCTTTTCCTCGTCTCTCTGCCGGTCGAGAGGTTTTCGATGGTTTTCTTCCATCTTCTCATTTTTTTAGGCGGGGCCCTTGTAAAGCTTTCAGACTGCTGGTCACCAATGGAGTTCTGGATAATTGAGGAATTTCACACTGCGCCCCACTGAGCAAAAGCCAGATCAGAGCACTTTGCAACACGCCATGAAGCTGATATTCTAAGGGGTTGGTGTGAAGAGATCCTCTGTGGGTTGGAGAGAGATATCATGTAGGCCCCATGAATATGAAAAGAGAAGCTGGTCACATCTGCGCTGTAGATTGTGTTAACTCTTCTGTTATTGTATTTTGAGCAGGGTTTGGTAAATTGAGTACTTTAAGAGCTCAAAATATATTACCTCCACTTATGACCAGTAAGCTGGGATACTCTATCTAAATATAGAGTATCACCCTGCCTGGTCTTTATTGTGCTTTAATCAGAAAATTATAGGATTCTTTATTTATTAGGGGGTTGAACACACTTTGTTTTGATTCAGAAAACAGTCAGGTTTATAAAAGTAAGAAATTTATTTTCAAACAATTAAAACATGTCAATTTAACTAAGCATTTACTGTGATGGATGGAACTAGTTGTGATTAGGGTTGTCACGGTGTGAAAATTTAACCTCACGGTTACTGTGACCAAAATTACCACGGTTTTCGGTACTATCGCGGCATTTTTTTTTAAACCTGCTACATTTTCACACAATTAAATAAACCCTGTATGTCAGGAAATATTGTCCTCAGCTTGTGTCTAAATTTTGCCTAAAATGTGTTATTTTGTAATTATGTTGTTTATTTGTTTACATTTTTTCCCTTTAGTCTTTAAAATACCAATATTTGCCCATAACTTCTTATTTTTTGTCTGTTTGATGTCATCATTTTAAAAATATTAGATCAGATGATACTCAGTACTCAAGTAGCCTTCTAATCAGATACTTTATTAGTCTTACTTGAGTAATAAACCCTATATCAGGAAAATATTGCCCTCGGTTTGTGTCCTTCCAGTGAGCTTTGCAGATTTGGGAAAATGTCATCAGGCAGTAATCATTGTTAAATTCATAATTATTCTCGGAGAGAGACCAACTCTTATCTGCCCCTGGGAGCCCGTAATGCATAGTGTCATTTCAACATGGGGGTGTCCGCGACACGGTTTATATGCAGGTAGCGGCGCTGCGGCTGCTTTA